CAGCAGGCGGGGAACCTTGGCTTCCTCCATCACTGGAGCAAGCAAGCCTCCTGTTCGCTTTAGCTGCCTGGCTGCCGGCCTCCATCTTGGTTGGCAGTTAATTTGCATATCGCCCTGATTAGCCAATGGGAAGCGTGTCAGAGGTACAGTTAATTACCATGTTTGTCTATTATTAGATAGGATTAACCTACTTTTGCCTACCACTGTATGTGGCAGAAAAGTTAAAGTACCAGTTTCTAATGACACCACAGCTTAACAAGATCAGAAACTGGTTAATGATGGAAGTGGTACTAATTCATGAAACAGAAGTAGCAATTTACCACTGTAACTTAATAAACACATAGATATTGCTTACACAGTGATTCTTTCAGTATATGTGTGATTTGAACATGATGAGACACGAAAGAAGAAGTCTCTTTTCTCAGTTTGATTGCTGACAAACACAATTATACAGCTCTACACTGTATAAAAATGTAACGTACAACATCGTCAACAACTGTTGCTCAGAGTGTAAGTTTTGTGAAGGATTATGTTCTGGTAGTAGAGCTGACCATAAAACAGTCGAAGGTAGTGACACAGATTAAGGAATTTATGCCAGAAGGCAAATCAACACACTGCTTCATCAAGACAGTTTTGATTAAAAAAAATAAAATTGAAAAAAACACCTGCTGGATGATCTAAACTGTGTGCTTAGTGGTGCAGGAAAAATTTGGACTACTCACTTTTCTATGTGATAGCTGGTGACTGCCCGTGAGCGGCTGCTACTGCTGCAGGTGTGCGAGGGAAAGCTGTGTGCAGAATGTCTGAACTCAGAGCAACCTAAGTGTCTCCAGAGTTTCAGGGATTGTAAGCAGGCTTGATTAACTATGAAAATTGCTCTACAAATAACAATTAATGAAAAGAAATAGATGGTTACATATTTTCAGATGTTCATATCCTTTAACATTATAGTAAGTTAATCCTAAATGTCAGAGGTCACACTTGTCCAGCCACATGTGGCTGTATGCAGCTTGCAACATGTAAGCCTCCCCATGCGAATTCCCAGCATGCACATGGTCTGCACCTGCTCACGCGACCAGCACGCTGCTCATGCTTCCCAGTGGTCGGCAAACTCATTAGTCGACAGAGCCAAATATCAACAGTACAACGATTGAAATTTCTTTTGAGAGCCAAATTTTTTAAACTTAAACTATATAGGTAGGTACATTGTTATTAACTTAATTAGGGTACTCCTAAGGCTTAGGAAGAGCCACACTCAAGGGGCCAAAGAGCCGCATGTGGCTCACAAGCCGCAGTTTGCCGACCACGGTTCTAGACCATATAGCAATGCACCAAACTGCCCTGAGTGCTTCTAAAAGCTTCCTCTAAATTCCTATCAAGCAATTTCTGCAGATATCAAACATCCACAGACTGATGCTGGTCCAAGGCCACACCTCCCAGAGCTCTGGTGGAAAGCATTTCTGAAGAGTAGAGAGGGGCATCAGTACGAATATGTGACAGCTCAAGGCTTTATGGAAAACCAATAAGGAAAAAATAGTGTATTTCCTATTTTTGAACCACTATATTTCATCAAATCTAAGGCATTCTTGATTGTAAAATGCATCATTTTATGCACACTGTCAATTAAACAGACAGATGACATTATAAAACACATTTAGGATTTAAAGAAGGTACAATGTGGGGAAAAGACAGTGCTCCTTAGGGTTATGAAATAGAATATTTACAGTTTTACATTTTCTACAAGGGATATAAAATAAAGATAAATATAAACAAACTACTTAAGAAATTATGATGAAAAATATATAAAAGAAAAATTATACTAATGCATTTTCTGCTAACAGGACAAAGGGTAACATCAGACTCACTTAGCATTTTTTAGAACATTTGTCTTTTTTGGGGCCAGCCAGTTTATATTCTTTCTATGTGATAAAGCCCTAAGTTTATTCTGGAAAATCATTCCTCTCCTCTTCTCAACCGTAAGGCCTGGAGCAGCCCTGACTGGCCTACACTAACCAGCATCTCCCACAGGGACTAGTTCAGGGAAGGGGCAGCCTCAACAGGAACTCAATCGGAAACAGTGAAATGCTAGGAGATACTGGGCTCAAGATTCTGAAAAGATGGAAAATTGCTTCCCCCTCCTTCAGGAGTGACCGGGAGAGGCCATTTTCCTATCCTCCCACATCATGCACCCTGAGGTCCAGGGCCCAAGCGGCATCTGCTGTCACTGTCGAGTACAACTACCCAGAGTCTGAGGAGAAGAGTCTGAGACCTGTTCCGACAACAGCCTGACTGCAGCGCTGTCTGCCAGGCACGCCCACAGCCCGTCTGCCTGGACTAAGCTGCAGGGTCACACTCCTGGGCTTGACTGTGGTCAGAGCCCCGCCTGCTCAGTGCACGCACGCCCACCCTCACTGCTGCAGCGCAGAACGCTCAGCAAGTAGCCTGTTTGGCCACAGATCTAAAGTCACATTCCCCCATCAGTGTAACCAATAATAAAGGCAATAGTATAATCACCACATGTCTAAATTAAGAGGAAAGTAAAGAATTGCTAATGAATAACTCAAACCCAACAATATTATTATCCATATTTTATATATGAGCAAACTGGGTTGCAGAGAGGATGAACAATTTGCACCAAGTCGCCAAAAGTCTACAGTATGTGGCAAAACTGGCAGTCACACCCCTAGCCTCTCAATCGCTCTGAAGTCTGCATTGTTTTCAATGTGCTACATGCATGTCGTTCTGTCCATTCAAAACAGGCACATGTCACCAATCTTCTCCAACAAGGCCGGGAAGAGGCCCCTGGGGGTGGAAGGCAGAGGAAGGAAGATGAACTCACACTCAGTGTGTAGGTACTATGTTCGAAGCTATTCGTTTCATTATGTATTTCAATCCTCACAACCACCTGAAGGAACCTGCCGCAGTTAAGGAGCAGGTTCCCAAAGCTCATGTCTCTTTACTAAGTTGCTCCTAGTAATAACTAAGTTGCTCTTAATAACTAACTAAACATTAGTCAATCTTCAGCTGTTGGAAGACTGTTGAAAGTAGAGTTTTACTGACATGGGTTTATCTGCTTAATTCCCACACTTACTGCAAAGTTCTTTTCAATGGCGCAGAACACCACGTCCATACAGATGAACACCCCGGTCCGGCCCACTCCTGCGCTGCAGTGAACCACGATGGGTCCTGTCAGGTGGCTGCTCCTCACATAGCGGACATACTGTATGAAACACTCTGGTGGTGCAGGAGTGCCGTGGTCTGGCCAGTTGGTGAACTGCAACTGTTTTATAAAGTGCCTAGTTCCTGTCTGTTGAGAAAGTGAAAGAGAGGGAAAGGGTGTAGGAAAGAGGGAGAGAGAAGAAGGGGAGAGATAGAGAAGACAGATATATCAACCTCTTATACTAAAGATATCATTTTAATTTCTAATATACCAGAAATAGTAATGATAATAATAATAATAATGGCTATAGGTACTACAATAATAAACATATGAATACCAACAGGAAACATGAATTGGGCACTTGTTCTGTTCCAGGTATTGTGCATTATCGCTTTTAATCCTCATATCAGTGTTTGGAGGTGGCACTATTTATCCTCATTTTAGAGATAAAGAAGTTAGGATTAGCGTGACTGAGAGATGCATGCTAGGTCAGAAGGCTCACAGGTCCAGAGCTGAGACTACCAAGTAGGCCTCCTGAATCCAAGTCTACTATCTTTCTTCTGCACCATGAGGCTGCAGAAAAAAACAGGAATTCAAAGATGGCCCAACATGTTATGAATAATATAGAATAGCACTCTTTCTTAGCTTAAATATCATTAAATTTAATTAAAACAGATATGTGCTATCAAGTTGCTTGACCGGGAGCACCAATGTCCTCTGCCAATGAGGACAGGGTGGTTGATGACCTGTGCTGAGCCCCTGGATGTGGAGTCATGAAACTCCTCAAGACTGACAGATTAAGCACTTTGAGTTTTCCAATCATCCCTTCCAAAGGGATCACCCTCTTCCAGGGTCCGCCCTCATTTAATTTCACTGGGGACCCACGGGGAACACTCAGGGTGGGTTCTCACTCCTCTCCTGCTGCCCTAGTGCATCAGTTTTCCTAAGTTCCAAATAGAAAGCTCAAGTTTGAATCATCAGCACCTAAAAGTCAGTGATGAAAACAATCCTTGAAAATCCTGTGAAGGCATGAGTTTTAGGGTAACTCTCACCCTGTCACATATTTCAAGGACTAAATCTCTCCTGCTGCTGTTGACCATGGAGAGTTGCTTTCCTGACTGACCCAGTGCCATGAAGACAGGCTGCTGATGCAGGTTCTCCAAACAGAACCACATGGGTCTGAGGCTTGTGGGCCTCAGCCCAAAGGCCACCGTCCTGGCCTCCCTTGCCAAAACTCCGTAAGTGGATCCCAGAACTTGAGTCCATGAAGACAGACCATGCATCTGTGCCTCCCGCCTGGCCTACATTCTCCAAGCATGCTGCCCTCTCCTGCCGCGGCAGGCATCACACCCCATTTGGAACTGATGTGGCTGGTGTCTTTTTTTTTTTTAATATATTTTATTGATTTTCTACAGAGAGGAAGGGAGAGGAATAGAGAATTGGAAACATCAATGAGTGAGAAACATCAATCAGCTGCCTCCTGCACATCACCCACTGGGGTTGTGCCCACAACCACGGTACATGCCCTTGACTGGAATCGAACCCGGGACCCTTCAGTCCGTAGGCCAATGCTCTATCCACTGAGCCAAACCGGTTAGGGCTGGTGTCTTCCTTCCATGCTAGCCTGCAAGTACTCTAAGACTTGAGACTGTGTCTCTTTATATCCCCAGCCCCTGACATGCTACTTGGTTAATAGGAAGGAATCAACAGGTATCAAGGGAATGAGGGATCAGGCGAGTCCCCAGGTATACAGAAAAAGCATGGTGCCCAGCACACAGCCAGCAAGCTCTGCATCCATGTCAGCCGTTGTTATTCCTGACATCCTGCTCCTCACTCTGGGCTCATACCCTCCTCATTCGCAAATCTGCCTCTCCCATCCCTCCCTACTCCTCTCTCTCTCTCAACTTCTCCCTTTGCACTCAGGGCCACCATCCCACAATAATATCTTAGGAACCCTAGTCACCTCCCTAAATGTTTCTTCCATTTCCTTGCCTTGCCTTGCCTTGCCTTGCCTTGCCTTGCCTTGCCTTGCCTTGCCTTGCCTTGCCTTGTCTTGCCTTGCCTTGCCTCCCACAGGCACTTCACTGTCTCTGGCGCTCTGATCGAGGCCCTAAGTATCACAGAGCACAGAGACTAGGTTACATACTGCTTGCTGCCCACTCCCGTTTCCAATTCACTATTCCTTCTCCTTGAAAAAAACAAAACTCTCTTCCTTTTGAGTTTCATACCTCCTAGCTTCATCTTTTCATTGTTATAACCCACTAGATAGACCACCTGCTTGATCTACTACATTCACAGAACATCCTGACCTTCTCCCTACCACAGGTTCTGACACCATCCAGGGCACAGTCAGGGTCCTCATAGTGCCACCGACATTCTGAATCACAGCACCTTTATTTCTCTCTTGCAGAGGAGAGACTCCTTCCTCCTAGTCCTCACAGTGAGGAGCACCCCCTGCAATGTCAGGGATCAAAAAGCTTCCAGTTCTTAAAATCCACCACCACTGTCTGACCAGAAGCCTATATGCTAGCACCTCATTTGTGCGTCACTTCAATGCAACCAAATGCACTTTCCTGTCCCTTGTGTCCTCCATGTACTCCTAGTTGACTGGCCCAATTCCATTCATCTCCCTAAATTAAGACTTCATGACTAATTATCAGAATTATTCTCTTACAAACTGTCAACTCCCTTTATCATTTGAATCTTGCCACAGATTACCCTGGGCCAGTCCCATAACCAGTGAACAGAAATCCCATAGTCTGGCTGTCGGGGAGGAAATAATCACATAGTTGCCTATTAAAAATGTATAGGTTCCAACCTCAGCACCTCCAGAAACCCTTTTCCTAGTCATCGTGCTCTAATCAAATCAACTTCTTTGGTGATGACTCCAAATATCATCCCTTTTTTTCAAGCTTCCTGTTTAACTCCTATCCCATTCATTCCTGTGGAACACACGTATCACGTACTTGCTAATCAAATCCACTCAGAGAAGTTAACTCATCACTTCCTCCTATAAATCATCGCTTTTCTATTTTCTGAGTCTATCAGAGCAAGAAATCTGTGAATTACTCCAGACAACACTTCCCAACAAAACTTTCTACAATGACGCAGATGTTCTATATCTGTGCTGCCCAATATGGTAGCCTCTGGTAACATGGGACTGCTGCAGGTGAAAAATAAATTTGTTATTTTATGTAAGTTTAAATAACTTAAGTAGCCACATGTGGCTACCATATTACATAGCATACTTTTGACCACTCCTTCTGTCACTTATAAGTCAAAAGTCATAAGTCACATATAAGTCTGCCAATTTTATCTAAAAAACACCAAAGTCTCTGCTTTCCATCTCAATGCCAACTTCCCTAGATGACAATGGCACTTTCTTACTAAAATTCTTCAATGTCTCTCAGTTATCTTCATAATAAAGTTTGACTTCTTCACTAAAATCCAAGAAATTTCATGTTCTGGTTTGCCCCTGCTTACTTTCTATAACCTCATCTCATCTCTCATTACTTCCTGGCACTGCAATTTTATGTTCCAGAAACATTTAACTACTTATATTTCTTTATATATACCCCGTTCCATTTTATATCTTGATAATCTACTCCCTCTTTCCATCTTTCTCATTTGGGTAATTCTCAATTCAGATGCCACTGCCTCCAACAAACCTTCCCAAAACCACAAGTAATGCTAAGTACTTCCTTCCAAAGCTCCCAAACCCTCCACATGGATCGCAACATTACCACTGAGCACACCAAACTCTCCACCACTCTGTAAGGGTGCCTGGCACATTCCTAACATACCTTCACATGACTAACATACCTTAAAGACTCAATACACATCTGTCACACTTGGCAGAAGCAGCCCAAGTACATCCCAGGATTAGGCAACTTCCAATACTCACTCTCTCACTCCATTCCCCCCTTCCATTCCTTCCTCTCGCCAGCCAGAGTTTGATTAAGCACAAGTGGAAGTGGTGAGGTCTTAGTTTCTAATGCCAGAGAGAAGTAAAACTAAGTTATTTAAAAAATATCCCGGTCTATACGCTACCCTATGCCTAACTTCTCATCCTGATATGCATGCTTATATAATGAAATATGTATCTGATACTGATTTTTAAAAACTTACAGACTTCCTCACAACTTGAAATATTCGAATGGTGAAATATGGAAGTATCTGGTAGTTCTCCAGGAAGATACGACAGTGTTTCAGTTCCAAAGGCTTCTTCGTAGAAATGGGCCAGTAATGATGGCATTTGGGAACTCCAGCTTCTATCTCTCTGGTTATCATGACAATAACATTAGAGTTATTTTCCAAAATCATTTGCCAAAAGTCATCTGTGGTACTTGGCAGTGGCCCTTGGGTAGCGATATAGAAATACTCTTCTCCAGAATTGGTTATCCTAATATGACTAGCATTAATGTAGTCCTTGTTTTCTCCAAGAGGAACACGTGTTGAATCATCTATTACAAAACAGAAACATCTGGTAGATAAGGAAAAGCAGAAGACACAATACACTTCCTGAAAGCATTTAATGCAGATAAATCCATTGATCTCTTTGACCAATAGAGAAGATGGCATACATTTGAGTCCATATATTTAAATTCTTCCCTCCCCAAAACTTACTGGCATGACCTAAGAAATATACAATTAGGGAAGTTTTTATTTTAAATCATTTTCTACTAAACAGAGAAGGATGCCACCAGTATCCAGATACTGAGGGATTTCTGTTATGCGGGCACAGGTAGGATTAGGTCAAAAGAGGGACCTACTAGTCTGCAACTGAACACAGCCAAGGAGGAGCCCTCGGGGGGAGCAAGTAGAGAGCATTCCCAGAAATCTGGGAAACCTGCAAGCCCAAAACAGCAGAGCCAGGGGAAAATTTGGCAATAACAACTGAGAACTGAGGTAGTTGATCAAATACAAACACTAGCATAACAGATTTCTATCAATGCCACAAACATGCAGCCAGCCATCTGAATGTCGATCCTCGGTTTCATTGGTGAAGAGGCAATTTCTAATCAAAGCAGAGGAATTATGGGAAACGGATGCTATGAAGGAGAATTGCTCCAAGCAACATGGGACTCGTCTGACATGAAGTATTACAAATATGAGAGGGAAAAGCAGTGACTTGACTCACTAACAAACTCCACCAGCCCAGGAGGCGAGTTACAGTGACACCTGGAGCTCTGGGTCTCCCATGGCTCCTCGAGGAGAGAATGAAACCCTCAACAAAGGAGGAGCCTGCCCGCCCAGCCAGGAGCCATCACACCAGCAGTCTGTTCCTATGACCCCAAGTCATGGGGACTGCTTATTTAACAAATATACTATGACAAAATAATTGGCAAGGGGCTTACACAATTTCCAACAGAATCCTTCTCAAATTCCAACACAGTAAGCATAAACCATCCCTTCTAAATATGAATAAATTGGAAAAATAATCACTAGGTATATAAAAATATACAGTACTTCACAAAAGGAGACCATTCTGAGAAATCAGAGCAAATGTCCTCCTTTCTAAAAGAGAAGAATGACTTAAAAACTCCGATTTGTTTATATATAAAGAACTTATACAAGTCAACACCAACAAGACAAACAACCGGCTCTCCAACATCCCCCGAGAGGTCCCAGATTGTGAGAGGGTGCAGGCCAGGTTGAGGGTCCCCACCGGTGCACAATCACCCGGGGAGGGGCCTCAGGAGGGCTCCGGGGCGTATCCGGCCCATCTTGCTCAGTCCCAATCGGCCGGACCCCAGCAGCAAGCTAACCTACCTGTCAGAGCATCTGCCTCCTGGTGATCAGTGCACATCATAGCGACTGGTCAACCAGTTGACTGTCTGCCCCCTGGTAGTCAGTGCACATCATAGAAGCAGTTGAGCACCTTAGCATATCATTAGCATGTTACACTTTGATTGGTTGTTCGGTTCTGCCATTCGGTCTTTTTGCATATTACCCTTTTATTATATAGGATTTTTATAGAAAATATGTACTACTTTATGATAAAAAAAGCATTTTTTAATTTTCAAAAGGGAGATAAGAATAATAAAAGCTTGGTTTTAGATAAAAACCACAATAACTCAGCATCATGGTGGAGTGAGAAGACTCCTTTATTCTCTTCTTAAAATTACAAGTTAGACAATTATAACTCAACAAAGGACCCCCCTGCTCAACACACAAAGATACCTGACCTGAAAGAGCCACCTGTTAGAACATCTGAAGGTGGGAAGATATGAATGAGCAGGAGGGGTGGACAGGGAACGAAGGGGAGGTTGCTGCAGATGCAGCACAGCACCCACTGAGGCTCCAGTGAGGGCAATAGTGGAGGACTGGATGCAGGACTCACACTAGAGCCTGGAGTGTAAGAGGGACAGAAGCAGTGGTCTCCCAAGAAAAGGCATCACCTTTTCTCTCTCCCCGTTACAGCAGACCCCTTGCAGAGATGGCTGGGAAGCTTCAAACAAGAGCAACTATGATAGCCATTACTGAAAGAGGGGTGGAGCCACACATGCTTCCATAGCCTCACCCATCCTGACAGAGCCCAGTAAAGAAAGCTGAGAAGACCTGGACAGGGCATTGTGCCCATGGCCACTGCTGGCAGGAGGGTGGACCTGCAGGAGTTCGACCTTACCACCCTAGCAGAGCCAGATAGAGAAAACTGAGATGCCTTAAATAGTTCAATGAGGCTGTAAAATAATGAACTCACCACATACCC